AAACGTTCCTCCAAGTAGATCAGATGCAACAGACAGGGGCGCCCCCGCTTCACTGCCGTCATCCCAACAAGGGTCCTTTTCCTGTAGACCAAGGCCAGGCAGGGGCGAGCTTGCCTCCTCTCCACCGCTGCTGCCTCTTGGCCCGTTGTACTCTAAGCTGACCGTGCAGGGAGAGGGGCCACAGTTACTCATGTTGTCAGAGGCATAGTCCAGGTCAGCGAGTCTCCCCTTTAGCCGTCAGGAACTGGGAACCCATAAAGGGAGAGCTTTCTGGAGAGCCCACCCGAAGGGAGACCTTTTCAGTACACTTCTCTGAAGAAAGGATATAATCTTATCATTTTTGGAACCACAATAAAAACTGCAGTTGACATTAACTCAGCAAGGGCCGTGGCCTGGAACACTGCCAAGCCCTTTGCAGAGGGTCTTAGTCTGCTCGGGCTGCTGTAACAAAACTCCATAGATGGGTGTCTTAAACTGCTAGCATTCATTCTCATGGTTCTGGGTGCCAGGAAGTCCCACCATTAAGGTGTCCCCAGATTTGGTTTCCAGCAAGGATGCTCTTTCTGGTCCGTACATGGCTGCCTACGTGCTGTATCTTCATGTGGCAGAGGACAGATCATACCTTTCATGCCTCTTTACGAGGGTACTGGTCCCGTGCTGAGAGGTCCACCCTCATGCTCCAATGACCTCCTAAAGGCCTTGCCTCCTGATATTCTTATTCCAGAAGGTGTTTCTCTGTCACGCCAGTTCCCGTAAACTGGCTTCTGGATATTAGATTAGGCAATTGTTTGGGGCATTGTCTTTTTAAAATACCAAGAATGATCTTTGGCCAGCCCCAAGGTTTAGTGGTTAAAGTAACCAGGTCTCACATGGCCAACTAAGATTCAAGGTACAGCCCTGGGAATTTCAGTAACACTCCAGGTATGTACGTGTGCCCCCATCTCTGCAGGATGCAGTTATGGAGAAGAAGGAATTGCAACATGGTCATGCTCCATTGGGGGTGCTTTATCCCTCTCCCTCCCCCTCCCTCCCTCCCTCCCTCCCTCTCTCCGTCAAGTGCACATGCCCTTTGGCAATTAAGGAAAATAAACATATGTATGTATAGACATACCTGTGTGTAAAAATACACACATAGAGTCTAGAACAGTGGCCTGAAATTTTAACTGCTGTGAAATGATCAGGACTGTAATTTGTAACGTCCCCTATTGAAAATGCCGTGTATGGTAAAACCCTCGCTCTGACTGTCACGTCTCTGCGTGTGCCTTGAGGACATGCTGGGCACTGCAGAGACGTATGCTGGCAGACTAAACGACAAATCAGAGTGTTTTTAGACTTCAGTAACGTATAAGCCTGTGTCTTCAAGCTCCTGTTTATTCTGTTTTTAGATGGCTACCCCAAAGAAGAGATGGTCTATAGATGGAGAAAAAACTCGGTTGAGGCAGCGGATCAGAAATCATGGCGGCTTTACCAGTTCGACTTCATGGGCCTCCGAAACACCACAGACATCGTGACGACGTCTGCAGGTAGGGGTAACTCACAGAGGTGCAGCTCTCAAAGCAGAAAGACGCGACTCCTTCCCACCCTGCCTGAGGCCCCAGGCTGGACGCAAACTCCGTTTCTACGTTTATAAACATTAGGACAGGCCTGCTGCCTCAGCGACATTTCAGACAGGAAACTCATCCAAATCTAACTAGTTTACGATGCCTTCATTGGGACGGGAAGGATAAAGTCAATGTGTGTGTTTGAATGGAGAGTGTTCAGGTTCTGCCTCACCTAACTAGGATCACTCACCACTGACCCCGCTTATTTCATCATGAAATCGTTTAACTTCTAGCTTTTCCCTTCCTCTAAGCTTTATCTTAAACTAAGGGTCTCTTTAGTAACAGGCTAAGCACGATACCCCTCACTCCGTTTTACTAAGTGATTGGTATCGGCAGGTTGTAAAGCATGGGATTAGGTGCAAAGAGGCCCCACTTATTCATGTATTTCCACTTTTAAATGGTTTTTGGTTTTACATGGTTCTTTTATCTTTGGTATCTGCTCACTCCTGTGGTCTGTTTTACAACTGATTTTCTTCGGGCGTGGTGTGGGGGGTGGGGGAGACCACGGTCAGCGTTTATACTGATCTCATGATTCGCTAATATGAATAATCTGTTAGCTCTTAAAGTCCCATAGTAACCTATGTCATCGGCCAGCAGATGGTGTAGCACTTAAGTCGCTGGACTCCCACATGGCCAGCCGTGGTTTGAGTCCCAGACCCAGCGGCTTGCAACTCATGCCAGGTGCATTTGTGTGCATGCCCAAGAGCCTGGGGGGTAGGGAAGAGAAGAGACTGTGGCATGACCATCCTCCCTGGGGGGTGATGTCTCACTTTTTCTCTGTCTCTCTGGCAAGCATATGCGCCCTAAGGCAAAAAACTCTTAAAAAGAAATAACAGCTTACATCATCAATGGCTAGACTGAGCTGGCAGTCTGGATAATTAGCGGTAAATGTTTTTAAAGAACAGACCCAAATCTTGGTAGCAGTCCAAAACAGCCACTTGCACATCAGGAAAGACCCTGTGGGAGAGCTCTGGCACGGTGGGACTCGGCCATGCTTCGAACCCCGTGCCGGACAGCCCGACACGTGTCAGCACGCGGCCCATGCCTGGCTGCGTGGGCTAGAGGCTGGGGGCTCGTCTGTGGGCTGGTGCAGACCCGTCTGTGGGTGTGCCTGCCTCTTTCTCTCGCTCTCAAGGAGCACACGTACACACTCTGTCATGAATAAAAATAACTGAAGGACAAAAAAGGCCCTGGGAAAGCTACCGATCAACAGAGAAAAGTAAGTGGGCACCTCCGGCCGTCATGGAGGTGACAGTGACAAATGGCACCTGAGCTTAGACACTAAACGACGCTGAGGTTAAAGGAACGGAGCACCATCACTTATTAAAGTGGGCCCCGGAGGCCGTGTGGAGGGAAGTGCTTGGCGGAGGCTCGTCCTCACTTGTGAGTCACCTCCATTCCTTGTCCACTCCCACCCTGGGAGTCTGGGGTGCCCCGCAGTCCCTTGGAGGCAAGGCTGTCCAGGAGGCCACCAACCACGGATTGTACCAGTGTTTACACTCAGGTGTCCACACTGTTCCTGCTGTTCTCGGCAGGGGATGTCAGACCCAGGGAAACGTGAGGGCAAACGGAGCACATCCGGCTCAGGGCCTTTGACACCGTGAGAGGCACAGGCTCAGGACAGTGGTGAGCAGAGCTGCTGCAGGCCCGAGCGCCGTCTGAGCAGGCGCCGTGCGGAGTGACCGTGGCCTGCGAGGACAGCACGAGGGACCCATGCTCATGGTTTTGGGAAATTTTCACAGCTATTTTCTGTCTGTTGTATAATTATACTTGTAAGGAAGACAGTCTCTGGATAATAAGAAAATCCCAAGTCATGTTCACGAATATGAACAGTATTAAGGGATCTTTAAAAAGGTTATAAAAAGTAGAGTCCAAGTAGGAGTTTATTTTGATGTAAGAAATATTTAAATCCATCCATAGTCTTTCCATCATAGTTACTTCCCGTGAACTTTTTGAAGACCCGAGGATTGCTCACGCATGCTGACTGACCTTCGCATGCACTGCCGGCCACCAGTGTGTGTAAGCCCAGCCGACACACAGTTCTAACAAGGGGCGGCTGGTGATTATTAGCCGAATCCGTATTCCGTGAAGCAAGATGTGAACTCATTACTACTCCAATGTACATTTTGGGGGTGGGGGAGGTGGAAAAGTACAAAAAACAACTCAGAAGTAGTTACTGACAGGACGCTCATGTTCCTATGCTCCAGGGTCTCCAAGTACGGAAAGGAAAAACAAGTCCTGGTCTGACAGGAGCTCATCTACTGATAAAGTTTAGCTTTCTTCCTCTTAAAACTCAGATGGGATTCCTGGTGGTCAGTACACGTTCTAACACCATTCTCGGCCTCCCGTCACCTCTGCGAGGTCCCGAGAGGCCTTAGAAATATTTCGGCCTGGAGAGAACTCCCTTGATACCCGTTTCTTACTAAGGGAGTCCCAGGCAGCACCCTATTCTCCTGTAGAACTCAGTTAATAGAACTCCAGAATGACCCTCGAGCTCCTTACTGCGCCAATGCAACTTCATCATAAGCTCTAACTTCACCTTGTTAGATGAACTTTTTCACAATCTTTTTTCTTTTCTTTTTTTGGAGAGGTTTTTGCTATAGGGCACATGCGCTCGCCAGACAGAGACATAGAGACAGAAAGCGAGAAATCACCCCCGAGGGGGAATAGTCACGCTGCAATCCCTTCTCCATTCTCCTCTCAGGATCTTGGGCACGCACGCACACGTGCCTGGCGTTGAGTTTTAAGCCACCAGGTCCGGGACACGAACCGCGGTTGACTACGTGGGAGTCCAGCGACATAGCCATTATGCTAACTGCTGGTTCTCGGTTGCACTTGACTTTTAACTTGAACTTGATCTTTTTTTTTTTAACTTGAACTTGGTCTTGAAGTTGAACTTGACCTTGAACTTTCTAACTTGATCTTTTTTTAACTTGATCTTAACCTTGGACTTGAACTTGATCTCTGTTGACGAAAAAAATAACCAACTGTAAAATTAATAATGAATCATTAATGCGGTTTATTTCCAAGCCAAATACGAGTGACCTAGGCCCGGAAAAGAGGCATACATGCCTTTCTCGGGGTGATCATGTACAGAGGTTCCTTTTATTTGCTTTTGAGATTGACACACAACATTTAATTAAAAGATTTCCCATTGGTCTGGCCCAAAAAGGCGGGACATGTAGAAGCGAGGGCTTGTAGGTTATAGGTGGGGTCCGCAGTTCTCAGGTTGGTGATTGGAAGGGAAGATCTGTGTCTTGGGAAGAGATAAGCACAAGAATACACTGTAATCAGTTGAAATATGCATCTCAAAGATACTATGCCAGGGACAGGAGGTAGGAAGAATCCTGTTAATAGAAAGTAAATGGTCTGTTAATGTCTGTGAGCATGAATTCTCCAGTCCCTTTTGACAAGATTTTGGAAAAATAGGAGGAAATAGCCAGACTTCTGTCCACAGTCTCCCCGGTTAGCCAAAACTCATTCCTCTGAATGTATGTGTAGGCCACAAAATTGACAGGTCCCATAGTGCTATGAAGGCTCCATCCTAGCAGTCAGGTCCCACGGTGCTAGAGAGACTCATCCCTAGGAGTCATCTCCCACAGTGTTAGGGAGGCTCATCCTAGGAGTCAGGTCTCACGGTGCTAGGGAGGCTCATCCTAGGAGTCAGGTCTCACGGTGCTAGGGAGGCTCATCCTAGGAGTCAGGTCTCACGGTGCTAGGGAGGCTCATCCTAGGAGTCAGGTCTCACGGTGCTAGGGAGGCTCATCCTAGGAGTCAGGTCTCACGGTGCTAGGGAGGCTCATCCTAGGAGTCAGGTCTCACGGTGCTAGGGAGGCTCATCCTAGGAGTCAGGTCTCACGGTGCTAGGGAGGCTCATCCTAGGAGTCAGGTCTCACGGTGCTAGGGAGGCTCATCCTAGGAGTCAGGTCTCACGGTGCTAGGGAGGCTCATCCTAGGAGTCAGGTCTCACGGTGCTAGGGAGGCTCATCCTAGGAGTCAGGTCTCACGGTGCTAGGGAGGCTCATCCTAGGAGTCAGGTCTCACGGTGCTAGGGAGGCTCATCCTAGGAGTCAGGTCTCACGGTGCTAGGGAGGCTCATCCTAGGAGTCAGGTCCCAGGGTGTTAGGGAGGCTCATCCTAGGAGTCAGGTTTCACGGTGCTAGGGAGGCTCATCCCGAGGAGTCAGGCCCCACGGTGCTAGGG